AAATGCACTTAAAGTTGCCTTGTATGCTAAATCGTCAGTTATCAGCTTAGCCATACAAGTGCTATTTCAAAAGATTTAAATTAATGATATTGCAAGACTTTAAAGTTTTGATATCAAATATAGTGTGGAACATCAAAATAGAAACTAGTAATTGTGATTAGCAGCAATGTTAAAAGACAGACTGGAAGTAATGTCTCAATTGATTTTGCAATGATTTGAGAGAGCCAAAAACAGATTTAAAGTGTGTCTTAATGAAAATGGTCACTGGATGAGAGGTGCTATCGATAAGGCTCAGAAGTATCCTCGATGATGGCTATAGTGATAAGTGTTTATCACTCTGGCTGGCCAGCTTAACCAATTGTAGAGACACAATACTATCGCTCAAATACACATGGCTCGTACAGGCACACTCAGATTGGAGACACCTGAAAGCGTGCTCGGCAAATACAAAAGAGTGAGTAACGAAAAGAAAACGACCACAAACAGAGGAAGATAGCGACACATTAAAAAACTCCATTTTTTAACTTTTCATCATTTCCAACCTTCCAACATGGTTCGCAACACTACTTTTGGATCTAATCAAGTTTTTGACGCTAAAAAGAGTACAAAATCAAGAGTATGTTTTCTTTAAACATTTCACTGAGTGTGAAAATGACTTCAATTTTTTCTTCAATTTAGATTGAGCTTCATCTTCATTTGGAAGGTTCCATTAGAGTACAAACACTCTACGACTTGGCTAGAGCCAAAAATTACAAACTAACAGAAAACAATACTTTGGAAGAAATCAAAGAAGCGGTCACAGTCGACCATCCTGTTGATTTGGGATATTTTCTCTCCAAGATCGACCGCAACATTCCTCTGTTTGTGTAAGTGTGTTAACCTATTCAGACACTCCAACCTCATTGTTTTTGAACAGGGGAGACCTTCAAGCCATCGAGCGCATTTCCTATGAGCTCTGTGAAGACGAAGCAGCTGAGAATGTACTCTATTTTGAGACCCGCTTCTCACCGCATTTCCTCTGCAACACCAGGAAACATCCCTTTCAAGCGGATCCGCTTTCTAATGACAGCCCAACAGCGGTCACACCTGAAGACGTCGTCCGAGCGGTCAGTCGAGGTTTGAAGCGAGGTGAAACAGACTTCTCCATCAAGGCTCGCATGATTCTCTGCACCATAAAGGGCCATAGTGGCTGGAGCAGTGATGTGGTGCGAATGGCCACTGAGATGAAGGCCGAGGGCGTGGTGGCCATTGACATTGCTGGCGATGAGAGCGTCTACTCGGACGAAGAGCGGGCCGCCTTTGAAACTGCCTTCAGTCGGGGCATTCACCGCACCATCCACGCCGGGGAGCAGGGCCCGCCGACGAATGTGGCCTACGCAGTGAAGAAGCNCCGCCTTTGAAACTGCCTTCAGTCGGGGCATTCACCGCACCATCCACGCCGGGGAGCAGGGCCCGCCGACGAATGTGGCCTACGCAGTGAAGAAGCTGCACGCAGAGCGAATCGGCCACGGCTACAGTGTAGTCCAGTCGGCGGAGATCTACGAAATGTGTCGCAGCAGGGGCGTTCACTTTGAGTGCTGTCCCTACTCGAGCTTGTACACGAGTGCGGTGAAGCGAGGTGAGGGGGCGGGCAAGCATCCCATAGTGATCTTCGCAGAGGATGACACCAACTTTTCGGTGAGCAAAGACGACTCCACGGTGACGCAAACGACACTGCCCATTGAGTACCAACTGTTGCAGCGAATGGGTCTCACCGAACTGCACCTGGTCAGAGCCAACTTTAATGCCGCTCGATCGTGCTTTCTGCCAGAGGAGGAGAAACGGCAGCTACTTGAACAGTTGAAGCAGGTCTACCATTTTGCCCAGTGAGTGCGCCGACTAATCAGAGAGTCTGCATTCTCTGTCGGCATTTGATGTAAAACAAATTCAACGGAAAATAAAAAAGAATTCCGAGAATTTTTAGCCTTTTTCTGTTTTGTAAGTCACAGCCGGTTCGGCCAGTGCGATCAAGTGTGCAATTGAGCCAACTCTGACTGGTTGTGCTACTCTCAATCGATCAATCTATTCCCCCGATCAGCTCGATTTTTTCTGTTAAATTTGGATCGGTGCATTTTGTTTTTAGTTTTAACAACTCTGGCAAAGCNAAGTGTGCAATTGAGCCAACTCTGACTGGTTGTGCTACTCTCAATCGATCGATCTATTCCCCCGATCAGCTCGATTTTTTTCTGTTAAATTTGCATCGGTGCATTTTGTTCTTAGTTTTAACAACTCTGGCAAAGCTGCATGCAAAGAAGGTCATCCAGCAGCGGGCAACTTGACTGGCAGGTTTGACTCGGCAATCACACAAAAAGGAATTTTTTTGACTGTTTGTTTTCTCTAGGTATTCTCATTTGGCCACCCAGTCTAACAATCAATTCCTCAGTGACTACTATTTGGGTGTAATGATAGCAGCACAATTGCTGTACAACACACACACTCAATGCCATTAATGCTTTTACAGGCGTCGTTTGCTTTCACGCTTTCATTACTGCTGAACTGAAGTAAAGTGATGCTCAAAACCTCAGCAGGTGGAGTTTCATGACTACAGTAAAGACGATTAAGAATGTTTAGAGGCAGAAACAAATTACCACTGAATCTCTAAATGAATTTGATAGGTAAGACACCAATAAAGCGAGTAAGAGCCAAATGGGATGTTTGATGAGGGGGTGAAAGAAACGGCTAAAGCAGCTGATGCAGATGTTATTGTCTGACGACAGTAAATCATCGTAGTCGTCACAACTCAGCCGAAACGAAAAGTCTAAATTGGGGAAGACTGAAGAACATCTCAAATGTCTTTGCTGTGGCTGTTGAGGATGCCAATGACAAGTGGCAATTTGAATAAAGAAGCAACATCACCCTCAGAGTGTGTTCTGATTGACTTGTCTCACTCTGTGACTCAACTTTAACTAAAATCTTCAGTTTGTCGCAGTGTAGGTGCCGTCAGGTAGTTCATCATCCTCTGCCAGCAATTGCCAATTGTCTCTACTTCGGTCGTTTTTCTCTTTTCTCTCTCTCTCTCTCTCTCTCTCTCTCTCTTGTTCAGCAAAAAAGTCTTTCTCAATCAAATAGAGGTGTATAGGTGTAGCAACTAAGCAAATGGCATTCTAGCTCTCTGCACTCACTTTAAAGCCAGATTTGTAACCCGGAGAACTAGCCAGGTGAGACGAATTACTCATTGTCGTTGCTTGCGATTGATGCTTGCAAAAGAAAGAGTCTTTTCACTGGAACTGTGCTCAATTGTTTGAGTGAGTGAGTGTGTGTTTGGGGTGATTAGATTAAGTCTAGCCACGCA